CTCCTCTTAATGCACCCCAGGATGCCATTGGCCTTCTTGGCCACCAGGGCACCCTGCTGGCTCATGGCCACCTTGTGATCCACCAGGACCCCCTCGGCAGAGCTGCTTCCCAGCAGGTCAGCCCCCAGGCTGTACTGGTGCCTGGGGTTCAACCTCCCCAGGGGCAGCACTCGACACTTGGCCCTTGGTGAACTTCATTGGGTTCCTCTCCGCCCAACTCTCCAGCGTGCCCAGGTCCCACTGGATGGCAGCGCAGCCTTCCCATGGATCGGCCACTCCTCCCAGTTTGGTGTCATCAGCGAACTTGCGGAGGGGCTGAGCTCCTCGTTTGACGCCGAAATTTCCCATCCCCATCCCTCTCCCCCGCTACCTGGAGACCCCAGTGACACCCACCTCACGCCCAGCTTCTCCGCCAGCTGCCCGGTCGGCCTCACGACGATCTCAAACAGCGAGGGGATCTTCTTGTACATGTCCTGTTGTTGCTGCAACTGCTGCGGCGACAGAGGCTCGTGCATCGGTGGCGGCATTTGCGGTCCCGGCGGTGGAAGCGGTGGCGGCGGAGGAGGAGGAGGACCTCCGGGCATCGGTCTCCCATTGGGAGATGTTGGAGCCGGCGGTCCGGGAGGGCGAGGAGGAGTGGGCAGCAAGCCGACCCCGGGGGGTGGTTTGGGAAGAGGATTGATGCCTTGTTTTTTTAGCTCTTCGACTTCTTTCTCATCCTCTGCGCCTGCTTCTGCGTCATCCGCCAGCATCTGAAGAGATCAAGGAGTGAGAATGGATCCCTGCTGATCCAAGGGGCTCCGGGAAACCTCCCCCCTTCCTTTCCACCCGTGGGATTTACATCCACGGAAATTAAACCCAAGAGGGTGAACCTGCGTTGAGACCCACCCCCCCGTACCTTATCCAGAAGCTCCCTGGTCTCCTCCGTGAGCGGATCGTGGGAAAACATGCAGTCGTCCCCATTGATGCAGTTGCCCGTGGTGTGGAACAGCTTGCACGGGAAGTCCCGTGGCGTTTATTAAGGAAAATAAACCCCAACAGGGAATCACTCCTACAGCCAGAGACCTTTTTTCACTTCGAAAAGCCGCTCTCAACGCGTAGGATTTCGGCGGTCACGACACTGATCTCAAACTACCGTTGCCAGACCCTTTCTGTCGCGTTTCCTCGTAGGCCCGACGGCCGCAAACCTCATTTCTTCAACAGGAAAGGTGAAGCTAAGAAGGAACCGGGGAGGGTTCTGCGGGGTCTGAGGCCCCGGTCCTTCAGCCTGTCGGCGGAGGATGTGTTACCAAGGAACGGGTCTTTATTTTCCGCCCCCCCCCCACCCCCTCCACGCATCTCCATGGAGCAAACGAGGCTGATTTAAGGCTGGCTTAACGAACCGGTACAAAACGAAAGGATATCATGCATGTAAGGGCAGTTTTCAGCCCTGGCGCAGTAGCCGGTGATGTAGAACTTGCAGAGTTCCCGTTTCTTTGGTAGTTCGATGTCATGACTGAAATTGCAGTGGTCGCCCTGTTCCGAAAACAACCCAACCGGGCGTTAGGGAAGCACGAAGGTGTTCGGTAAGCAGCCCGGAACACAACCGAGGACGGACAGGAAGATGGCTGCTCTTTACAAAACGCTCCCTTGTAGAATCATTGGTTGGAAAAGCCCTTTAAGATCATCGAGTCCAACCTTTAACCCAACCCTGCCATCCCACCACTAAACCATGGCCCTCAGCACCTCATCTATCCTTCTTTTAAATCCCTCCAGGGATGAGGACTCCACCACCTCCCTGGGCAGCCCATTCCAGAGCCTGACAGCCC